TAAGAAATATGAAAGAGATGGGATTGGGAAGACTGAGCTACGTTGTCAGAGCAGAGATAAAAAGGAAGTAGGAAGTGATGAGATGGGATCTGATGGACAGCCGACCCATAATATAACTCCTATTGTGCGAACCCAATCCCTTCGGACAGAGGCAGGTATAATACCCAACCGATTCTTTGCTGATCAACCCAGCGGTGAAGCGCCACGAAGGAACCCACTTGCTGCCGCAACCCTTGTTCATGTGGAAGAAAGAGGTCAACCCTCGGATTTTTGTAAGAGTACAGAAATTATGAGTTCCTTACGTAGTACTGACGCTAGATGCAGTCAGGATGAAAGTTATAAGTGTATTAAGATATGTGAAATCAATAGGGTTAATAGAGATTAAGGCAAGCTGGTACGTCTGTGTGTTCATGCTAGGAAAAATTAACCAAGATACAATTCCAGATCGCGAACGCACACCACCAATACGAGAATTATTAGCCGTTATCAGAATTTTGAGGCTATTGCTGAGAGAGGGCATTGAGAGCTTTATCTTGTTTTATGTGGATGCTGGTTTATTATGGATAGGTAATTTGAAAAAGAAAAAATTTAAAGAAATTTTTAAATTGGAATTGAAGATTTTTAAAAGTGCCAGTTTTTAAAAATAAAATTGACGTGTGTCGATTAATAAAGATTTTGTACATATCTGACAGATATCAGCGGGGATGATTCTGGTATATCGAAGCCGTTAGCAAAGGAGAAATGAACAATTGGGAAGACTAGTGTTTTTAAATTTTAAACTACGTGCAGTGTAGCAGCTACGTGAGTGTATACACCTGATGATGGCCGTTTACGGCCGAAACATGTAGTGTAGAAGAAAGGAAGACGAAAGAACTACAATAAATTGTTGCACTTAGGACGGTGTTTGTATCATATATTGTGTAGAGTGTAACAGGATGCTTAAATATAATATTGGCTAGGTAATTATTAAAGTTTTACTACATTTAAATTATTTTCTGTTATCTCAGTAGCTGGTGAGTAATATCAAGGGAGGTGTGAATGAAATCTTTGTGTGACTGTTATGTGTGATATGTTAACTAGGTATGTTTTGTTGCTGTGAAGATTTATAGGTGCTTAGACATTTAGCGAAAAAAAAATTATGAAATATAACTGTATATATATATATATATATTAAGCTGAGTGAATAATTCTCCTTAAATTGATATTCGTTTTATGAGTTTACTGGAAACTGAGGTGACCTCTTCCAGAAAAATGAACTGAATTACTACTCTTATTTTGTGTAGCAATGTTTAATTGAATTGAAAGGACAGTGATGATTTAATATGTAAACTACTGAAGTGGGATTTGTCGTTGAAAGAAACTCACTTGAATTCTGTGCTAACTAGTATGATATTCATTTGCATAATTTACATGTTCTTGTTAATGTGGATATGTATTACAAATATTCACCTCTACAGCACGCGACAGAGTTGCAGCTCAGCCTGCATGTGCTGGTCATGAGTAATTAATTGCCATTTCTTAAGCACTGTGTTGTACACATACTTTAAGTGTTATTTACTTTGTTGTTTGGACTTCAAAGGCAAGTAAGCTGTAATGTTGGTCAATTTCTGCAGCATCAAAAACGCGAAAATTACAACGTCGTGGAGGATCGACCAGGAACCTTGCTCTCGATATTCAGGTCGAATTCGAAGAATTCTCGCCCACAAACGATTGAGGACTCCGAAATAATAATCAGAATTCACTGTTTGACCTTCTGGCAGAAATTCCTTGTGAATGATTCCTTTGGAATCGAAGAAAATGGTTAGCAAGTCTTTACTCGACTCTTTTGCATGCGCACTTTCTTTGGTTTCGGCTTCTTTGGGCTCAACCACGTTGCACTCTTCCGCTTTGTGAGAGGCTCATATTGAAATCACAATGTCTCGTCACCAGTAACAATCGATTTTGTAAATTTTGTATCACTTTGGACCGACCGCAACATGTCTTCGCAGTGTTCCACTCTGGCATGTTTCTCATCGCCTGACAGCGCGTGCGGTACAAACTGCGCACAGACCTTCCGTTTGCCCAAATCCTCGGTCAGAATTTGATGTACGGTACTTTTTGATATTCCCAAGAGCTCCTCGATGAGTCTTGCAGAAACACATCTGTCTGACGGAAGGATTTCGGTCACTTTTTTACATTTTCTTCAATGCGACTTGTTCTCGGCTTTTATGTACGTGGAGTGTCTTCAATGTCCTCCCTGCCGTCACGAAATACAGCATACCATCGAAATATGTTCGAACAACTCAAACAATCACTACCGCACACACTTTTCATCATTTGGTGCGCTTCTCCGGCTGTTTTGCCTAACTTCAAACAAAACCGCCATTTTCCGACGAGCGTCAGAACAGTACATTCAAGGTCAGAACACATGATGCAGCGATGCTTGCGCTTTGAGATTATAGACAGCTACAGCTGAAACTTCATGAATCTTAACGCCACAACTCGCCAAAAAATGGCATCGGAGGGCAAAATTAAAAAAAAAAAAAGAGTCCTAACGGATCCTGGACACACCGTGCAAGTTTCCAAATATCATTTCATATTTACAAATTATCATTTTGTCATACTTAGCATAATTACACAATATTTTGCCTTAATTTCATTCAAAGTTACACAAACAAATTGATCAAACTTGGATTTTGCCGAAATGTAAATATACCACAATAAGAATTATAATGTTTATGGCACTACGAGTATATCACATGTCGAGCGGAAGCATAGCTTCCAGATTCAGAAGATTCATAAGAAAAGGTTGATCACCCAACAAAGAAGGATTTTCGAGTTCGCTGTTTAATTCAGAACCGTCACCGAATTCAAGTGCTGGATCTGATGGCCACTTATATTTCAGAATGTCAGCTTCCTCAGCGAATTCGTCAGTAATGAGAGCTCCACATTTGGCTGTCCCATCAGTTTCTGCACTTGACGGCAGTTTTCGCTTCTTACTGCGCTGAGGTTTTCTTTCCGCTTTCCTAGTGCGCACATTGGTATTCCCTTTCTTCCTACTGCCGCGCTTGGTATATTCTCTCTTCAGTGTATAATCAGATGTCCTGGTAGCTGCATCCTCATTTGATGTTCGAAGTGCGTCTACGGCCTGTAGTGCCTGGCCAATACTGCAGTTCAAAGATGTTACTATGGATCTGTTCTCCAGGAGACTAGCAGGCATGCTCAATATTTCCTCCAGTCGCGGATTAAGTATGACAGTCCTGTTTCTAGTCCCGAACCTTCCGAGCACCTGCAATCACACACAGTACAGTCGGAAATATACATTTTAAGTATCTGCATGAAGCCTACGGGTACCACTGCCAGTAGAGGGGCCGAACTCGCTGGCTGAACGGGGCTTATAGCGAGCACCAGTACCGGAAGGGTATGGCGACTGGTAGAATATCAAAGGGGGACGTACAATAGATCAACAACTGGTCGCGGTGCATGGGGAACCCCCCCCCCTCCAATAATGAATGAATGAATGCATGAAGCCTAAACTAATTCCTACATTAAAAAAGGGAATTAGTTATAAAATTTTTCTTTACTCGATGCCATGAAAGACTACAATGGTTATGTCATGAATAAATTCAAGTTGGGATTTTTGTAATTTCTTTGTTTAGGCGCATCCACTGAGGAATCTTAAAATATGTATGACCACCAAAGACATTCTACAAATTAGTTTACCAGCTATTCCACTAACACAAGATCGTATTAAATCATGCCTCATACTGAAAGAAAAGTTCTTCTGGAATATTTCGGCGTTTACTTCAAGACGACACGGTTCTTGATATTGATACAGTCATCTAAAGTACTAACAGCAGGATTATCATATACGATTTCGCCTCTGTCCTCACTTTCACTCAATTTGAAGTATGTATATTGAAGCCAAAATATTTCCTAAGAACTGTGATTTTAAACACCCCTAGCATGGGCGTCGGCAGAGGGGGGGGAGGAATCATCTGTACTTCTGGATTAAGAGAAATCAAAATAGAAATAATGGAAGCATCATAAATATTAATAACCCAAACGTAAAAGTATATAGGATTTAAGGTTCTGTCAGCGGTGGTTAATAGTAGTGCTATCTTCTAGAATATAACGACGTGTAGTCCGTTGATAGGCAACGGACTACACGACATTATATCTCAGAAGATAGTACTCTTCAACATCAAATTACTTTAAAAGTATATTATTCTCTTCTGAATATGAAGAGCGATCGGTAAACTTATTCTTAAACGGCTTAAACGTACATTTCTAAGCATATATTCTGGCTGAGAACAAACTATCTTCTGGCATGTTTCGCCTTGAAATCCGGTAGAAGTTTACCGACGTTTCGAAGAGTATGCCAAACAGGCAAGGAGCAAGAAGTAGTCAGCAGGTTTCTTGTTTCTTCTTCGTTGCATGGCATATTCTTCACGGTGTCACTGCGTCACATCCAAGAAGATGGCCACTTCTGCAAGAACCTCAAATACGGGGTTGTGATTGTCCTTAGGAAAGAGAATCTAGTGGAACCCAAGACGCCTAGTTATAGTTTTTGTTCTTCTGCAGGCGAGAAAGACTGAGTTTCACATCTGGTTTTAGTGGGAATGATGTTCCTGCTAAATTACAACATTAGGCCATTTACATTGAAGTAACTGAGGTCTGTCGATTTAAAAGGAGTTATGCACTAGAAAACCGAGATTAACGGCAGTGGAGATCTGTTGCGCTGACCACGTGACACCCTCTATCCGCTAAAGTTGGCACTAACTTCGTCGACAAGCGGCGGTCGCTCGGTCAGTACAGTTCGCTTGCGGAGTATGGGCCGCTGAGTTTGTTTATATTTGTTTATACAGAGATTTAAAATCACATTTCAGTTTTTCCGAGGAGTATTCTGTATACGGATACAAGAAAAACATTTCGTTTCAATCGTGTAAGGGCTCAGATTGCCTAGAACTCTTTAAATGGAAAAGAAACCCGTCTTCTTGCATATAACGTCGTTAGTGCAGTAGAAGTGCGCCGGTTTTGGAGGAACGTTCTACCTCCATCTTCAGGGTTCAAAGAGTTAGTCAAGCAAGAAACCGGAAGCAAGGCGAACACTGTAACTCTTCTTGCGCCTGCGGCTTCTTAGTATCTTGTTTGGCTTAATCTCCGACCTTGAAGATGGAGGTAGTTTTCTCATCTGAAACCTCATTGGACTTCTACTCGACTGCACCGCATTACGTCCCAGAAGGTTGTTTTCTTATATGAAAACCTTAAATCCAAAACACTCTAAATCACGATTTCCAGCCTTTCAACCTTACTACGTATATCTACTGCGAAAGGGCATGTAAAATGTTTGCTTAGAAATTAAACAAAAATTAATGCCTGCATAAATTAAGAAGATTATTACAGAATGAGATTCTGCAAACACGTAAATATATATATATATATATATAAATGTATGAAATTCCAATCCTGTGTATCATCATTTTTCAATTTTGGAAATTAAATAATACCAGCAAAAGATACCGTATTTACGCATGTATAGGCCGCACATTTTTTGCCAAAAATTCAAGAGGAAAACTGGGGTGCGGCTTATATTCGAAATCACACTTAATTTAAAAAAAAATTATATTCATAATTAGTAATACAGGGTGTTCTACTCCTGAAATAATATTCCAAGAAAATTATTTTTTCTATAATTTCTGTCTGAAAATTGTGCTGCGGCCTATACACGCACGCGGCCTATACGTGCGTAAATACGGTACTTCCTTTCATTCATTCATCAGTAATCTGTCAGACGACAGATCCACAGTCACTTCCAAAGCAGTTACTCCACTTAATGCGATCTTCTGTTTTTGGAAAGAGACTATCCAGGAAAAGTGATAATGTGGTAGTTTTTCCATTTGCTTTCCACATCGCAGTACAACAGCCGTTCAAACCACTCTGGTCACGCCTGTTGCTATACGAGGTATTAAAAGAGAAGGTGTGAAAAGAAAGTAAGATCGCTTGCCAATTGTTATGAAAATACGTAACCTCCGATATGTAAATGTTCTTCTCATCTTGAGATGCTGAGTCCCAGGCATCTGCCACTCGTCTATTGAGCTCGTACTTCGATATGTTCGGGTACACCCAACGGTAGAGGGTGCGCGTTCTCTTGCAGAATAAAGATCTGGCGGCCTTTAACACATCTGAATGTGTGTCCTCCGTTACATCCACAGCATACCACTGTACAATACACACACAGTAAAAGGAAATTGAAGTATATCAATTGCTTCTAGGAGGATGGTCAAACATAGATTACTATATAGTAACATTTCGTCTTTAATAACAAGATGTGAAAAGGGAATTGATTAATTGCCAGTACCAATGAGAACAGCAAACATGTGCCAATCCAATTCTAAATAAATACAGCGACTCTTAACAAGTTCTTCTTCCATATAATAGAAGTGATATCTCTCTTACTAATTTCAAGGACAGGATTGAACTTGGATTATAAAGTAATATCCATTGTTCTTGTTCAAAATATAAAGTGAAAGCCTGTGTCTTGAACAGGCCCAACGCGTTGGAAAATTCTACTGTTCTGTTCAGTTACAAAAAGATCAAAGTACCAAAACTTCGCCACAATTAATGGTACGAATTTTCAGACACTGACTCGAAAACTTTTACTGACGTGCAATTTTTAAAACAATGAAATATTTACGGCACGTTTAGATTTCTGCCAATGAATGGTCACGATGTGAGGTATAGATAAAAGTGAGTAAAGTAAAGCTATCCCTGTAACAGGGCGTGAAGGGTTGTGAGACGTTGAGGCTCCCACATTATCTAGACAATCGGCTCAAAGATGGCGGTAAGGTTGTCGGCCTTACGTGCCGGCCGCGCTTTACTCCCCAGGAAAATTATTTAATTAATTCCTGGTACTCACTTCTGTTAGAGGCTGAGTCGACCACAACATAAATCTACTGCATTTTCATTAAACAAGAGGGAGAGAAAGAGAGTGAAAATGGAAGAGATTATGTAAAATGTGCAGCCCCTAAAACTGTTGCACTCTCGCGATTACTCAGAGTGGGTCGTATCATTTATATATAGACTGTACAGTATGGAGGGCATGGCCGAACCTTACAGCACCCTTGCTTGTATATCCCTTGGCACAGACATTTCACCTTCGAGTGAGACTCTGAATTTTCTCTGAGAACGGAAAAAAAAAAGTTCAGAAAATTTAATTCCGATAATTTATATAGGAAGCCATGGTGCTATGTTGTATCAAAAGCTTTTTCAATATTCAAAAATAAAACTGCCGTAGACATTTTACTGTTGACATTTAAGGTGACGTGGTCCGTTAGCCTCATACGTTGAAGTGTCGTGCTGTGGTGGGCACGGAAACCAAACTGGCATGCATTAAGCAGATATCTTTCAGTGTACCTTTTGACTATTTTCAGAATAACTTTCTCGAATAGGTTCCCTGTTGTAGACAAGAGGCTAATCGGACTTAAATTTTGAGGGCATTTTGGGTCCTTGCAAGATTTCGGTAAACCGCACACTTGTCTCGTTTTTTCCTCTTATATATATAATAGGCACGGACCGCACAGAAAACATCTTCCCATAGTTTTCCTATCGTATGCGCATCCGTTTCCTCTGGAGCGTGTTTACCGAGACGTTGCTTAGCAATAACCGCCTCTTCTGGCTAAACTTTTCCGCCCTTCAGGCGTCATATCACATATCTTACTTCGCAAACAAATTATATGGTGGTTTGGTAGACTCTACAGACAGCAGGGTAGTGTCAGTGAATATAAAAGTCAGGAAGATTACATTTATGTTCTGTAATTACGAATATTTGGCTAGGTTATTATTTTCTATTCATAATTTAATTTATAATAAATTTGTATGCATTTAAGTAACGTATTACAATTTATCACAAATGTTTGTGGTTGCGAGCCGCAACTGGGCAGATTCATAACTCTAATGAAGTAAATATTAGAAGTACGCTTTACAGTTATTAGTATCTACTAAATTCAGTGCGTTTACTAGTTTAGTTGGGAGTCTTGTGAAGACATTTATACACATATTTGTTTTAATATTCCGAATAATTTAAATTGACTTTGTTGGACGTTAAAATGTAAAGTCGATATATTAGTGCATTATATTGTTATTACAGAAGGCTTTAACCCCGTTAAACGCTAGAATTGTAATAAATATACCGTACTTTCATGAACACAGATTTAGATAACGGCTGTAGTGAGAAAGGAACAGATTAAGAAACATGGTGAAGTCCACAGATTTCGTAGTTTATGAACACCTGAATAACTGCCACAACTGATTATGGTACAGTGATTAGAAGGACATTCCACACCAATCCCTGCAAAAAATTATTACCAAATATTTTTCTTCTTTGAAATAGGATATTTCAAAGAAGAGTTGATAAACTGAATTACTAAAAAATTAGTAATTAAAAATATTTATAAACAACTACAGTATATTCCTATTGAGTAAAAAACAATTTATGTAAAAATACTAACTTAAGTTCTTTTACATTAAAATGTTAACACGACATGTTTCGACCCTTACTGGGTCACTGTCAGGTTGTAACAAAACATTACATCCCGAAGCCATATATATAGATATTAATGAATTAATTTAGGTACACTTGGTCGTCGACTTACGACCTACGCGACTTACGACCGGCCGCATTTAAGACCACAAAAAATGAAAAATAACAGATGATTAAAATGTAAAAGTTTTTAAAAATAAATTATAAAGATGATAAAAATATTAGAAAGGTTAAAAAATACTGTTAATAAATATATGGTCGACATACGACCAGATCGACTTACGACCTGTCAGTCATAACGGAAGTCAGTCGTAAGTCGAAGACCATGTGTAATTAAGAAACATAATATCATTCTTGTATTTGAAGGAGATTTGTATTCATTATTGAAGTAACAGTTCTAAGAATTCTAACAGTGCTAGCTAAGACAAGAAGCTTGTAATACGAAGCAATATTACGATAGCAGCTATGGAATGTTGATGGCGTACCCCAAGCCAAGATCATCGAAGCTTCTAGAACATATCTGAATCCTCTACTAATTTTGTAATGTTCTGTGTTGTTGTGATTTTCTCGTATGATTCGTGGCGCCGTTCTCATGTTACAGCATTCAACGCACACCCCGATATGACGTAAATGAGAGCCCACTAGCCCCCGCCATAGCTCAAGCGGTTAGTTGCTGGCTTTCCACCGCGGCGGCCCGGGTTCGATCCCGGGTCTGGTCAAGTGGGATTTGTGGTGGACAAAGTGGCGCTGGGGCAGGTTTTCTCCGAGTACTTCGGTTTCCCCTGCCAATCTTCATTCCACCAATTGCTCCACATTCACCCTCACCTGTCATCTGGGTCTGGTACAATAGGCCAGAAGTGGCCGCAGTACGAGGGACTTAGTCCTATCCCAATAGCAATAAAAAAATATATATATACCCACTAAGGAAGAACCAAGACCAACATAACCAGTGCACCAGTAGAATAGCCATATATATATTTACATAAAAATTGTGGATTTAATTTGATTTTTAACTTTAATTTAATTAATTTACATCAATTTTAACTGCTTGTAATTGATACCAATACAGCTTAAGCTGAAGAGTAAAGAACCAGAGATTTTGTTAAGATTTGAGGTTTTCACGGGGGTGACTATGAAGGAAGAAGTCTTCTGGGATGTGGCGCCGTGTAGATATTGTGGTAACCGACGTTTCGGAGTAACGTATCGCCTCCGTCTTCAGGGTAGGAGAAAAAGAAGAAATTAGGCCTGTTAGCACCTGCTCACGCTAGGTCGCTTTTCTGCTACCCTGAAGATACGTTACTCCGAAACGTCGGTTAACACAATATCTACACGACCCCACATCCCAGAAGACTGTTTTCTTCAACCAGAGATTTTGTTACTAGGCAAATATCACATACAACATGGTGAAATTTGAAAACAATATGGATCCATGTTTACGCCCGATCATGACCCAACAAAGGTCGAAACATGTCATGTTAACATTTAAATGTAAAGAACCTAAGTTAGTGTTGTTACATGAATTTTTATGTCGACGAATATAAATATACTCATTTCGAATGACGCATAACAAGATGCAACATACCTGACTTCCTAGCATGTTGCTCATCTTAATACGAACTTGATTCAGGAAAAGTTGATTGCAGTGTGAAAGCAAAATTAATGGGTTCAAAATAAACGTCCATTTCTAGGCAACGATTGATCGGTAGGATAAACTGTTGTCGTTCCTAGGTGACCATTTGTAAACACTTAAATAAACGTATATTTCTAGGCAACGGTCGCTTGGTAGGGTAAATTGTTGCTCTTCCTAGATAACGGTTTGTAAACACCCGAATAAACGTCCATTTCTAGGCAACGATCGCTAGGCAGGGTAAATTGGTGTTGTTCATAGGTAACGATTTCTAAATAACCGAATATATAAGCACACAACAACAGAGGAACTGTTGGAAATGGCTTCTAGACCATGAGAAGCGCCATAGCTCAAGCGGTTAGTTGCTGGCTTCCCACCGCGGCGGCCCGAGTTCGATCCCGGGTCTGGTCAAGTGGGATTTATGGTGGACAAAGTGGCGCTGGGGCAGGTTTTCTCCGAGTACTTCGGTTTCCCCTGCCAATATTCATTCCACCTGCTTCACAATCACCCTCACCTGTCATCTGGGGGCTGGTACACTAGGCCAGAAGTGGCCGCAGTGGAAGGGACTTAGTCCCACCCCACTAGCAGTAAAAAAAGAAATAGAGGATGAGAAAGGTTGAACTGTTGCAGTGAGGGAGAGTTAGTGAGAAAAACGAACAGCACAGTGAAACTGAGTGTACACCAAAATGGTGGACGTCCCAATACCGGGATTCTGGAAATACTGGATACAAAAGCTAGCATCGCTGAAATTTGAATCCATCACGAAAAGTAGACAGAATCAGTTTCTGTAATGCAAAAGGTACATGAAGTGTCAAGTCACATTGAGAAACTTACCGGATACTGGCCGTTTAAAGTGGCGGGGGAAGCTGTGAGTGGCCCTTATTATGAACAGCGAGGAGGAGAACACAGCAAAGTTTTCAAAGCTCTAGAAGAAAAGCCTCTTTAGCGCTCTTTCAGCATGTAAGAGTTCCTGGCTACAGTTCCAGAGGTCAGGGTTCGATAACTTGCGCAACCAGATTTTCTTAGAAGTAGTGTGTCTGGAACGGGGTCCACTGAGCCTCGTGAGGATAACTGGAGTTATTTCAAGGAAATAGCGGCTCCGGTCTAGAAAACCGAAATAAACGGCCGTGGGGTTTTTTTACTGTAGAAAAAAATATTGTAAATACAAAAAAAAAGCCTAGGCAATGCCCATCCGGCCTTCTGTAGCACATTCTTATAAATATCTTATTCTTTAATAGCGGTAACCCCGTGATTCTTAATATAGATTTTAACTTAAATCTGAGGGTATACTGTTAATCAGTACAATTACTTCTTTTACTTTCCTTACATATTTATTTCATATAAAAATAGGAATGTTGCCAGGATAATTCATTAGGTGGACCACTCGGCTATTCTGACCGACTCAAGGATAAATTACTGTACTGTAATCACTGTAATTGGCGTAATTGGTAACCCTGCTGGTCATCAGTCTGGTCTCTCTGGTGCTGGTGCGAAGTGGACAAAGGCTGTAATAACAAATGGACGGCTGGAGAGAGTGTGTGTGTACGCTAAATGTTGTTAGGTAATTATTTGGCTAACTGGAAAAGCATTCGATTTGTACAACTTTGTCAAACTGTCCGAAGCAAACACCAGTGGGGTTCGTGATATTCCGCTGTTGCCAGTTTTAGTTGAGATTCTTCTAAACTTCAAATCCATTTTTGAGCATAATGTGTATGTTAAATTGCACATACCAGTCCTACTTAAAAAGGAAGTAATGAGAGCTGACGGTCTATGGTGAACTGGTTGCAGTTGCATGATGTATAAATGCATAGTGAATATCTGTTTGTGGCTCCTGGTTTTTCGATTTGGTGTACTGTTTGCAGGATGTAACACCGTGTAGCATTTTAACCAGTTATCTACTGTTTGGAAGTAGAAGGTTTCTTCAGAACGGGTGAACTAGCCGCCTTCAAAACTTACATAACATCCCAGGCAACACAATGCCTCAAAAGACAGTAAGCCTCATAGTTTGCTGTGAGAACCCCAAAACCCCAATCAGTATATTTCTACGCAGTCATTAGTATGGTTCCTTACAGATTTTGGCAAATATTCCCAGTTAGATGCTGGTACACCTACTAGAAATAAGTTGCTATATCACTAGGATACTTTTAAGCCAATTTATTACCCATAAACCCATAACCCATAAAAAATAATGATAAAAATGTTTCAAGGTTATTAAAAATTCTGAATTTTCTTGCAACAGGAATGCCAAGAATTGTGCTACAAGGAGCTGAAAAAATATTTCTTACTGTGAGAGAAAGGATGGTAAGTGTTTTGTGCTTGTGTGCACAGAAAAGAGTTCTGTTAGTGTCATCTGTCTGTTCTCATGGCTAAAGAAACTGACATTTTGTGACACGCTTGTGTTAGTTTTCATAATCCATCTGTTAAATTTTTTATACATGGTTATACACGTTATAACAATTTAGTATATTATGCAGGAGATTAATATGGCTAGGTTGTATAACATACACATGGGAATGAGAATTGCATATAAAGATTTGAACAGAAAACCTGAAAATAAAAGAGTCCACTTGGGTGACATTTGTTCAGTGAGGAGGCTACTACTGTGGAAGATTTTGAAGATATAATTTTGAAGGCTTTGGACTGGGTTGGTTTGGTTCCAGATACAGAGACATGATGGGCATTGGTGAACACAGTAATGAGCCTGTAGGTACCATAAAGAAGGAATATTTTATTTACTGCTCTAGTAGCCATTAGTTTCTCAGAAAGGTTCTTAACACATTGCAGACTGGTTGTTTAAATATTTAAATCACCCTGGGGACCGGGATTTTAAGCCTAGCACCCTGACTTGTGCACTGTTCACTTTAGAAATTAATATAAAATCTCCTAATTAATTTTATGAACTAAAATTTTTGGAGAACACTTACCAGAGCTCCTAGAAGTGCTTGCGTGTGTGATATCTCTGGAAACATTCGCCTTTGTGAAGAGGCATCACGCAGAATTTGCAGATGAACGCAGTCCTTCTCTTCTTCTTGTAGACTGCGCGCACACAGCACTGCCTAAAAGGGTACTCTTCACAATTCTCACCAGGGTATTTTTCTGCATATCACCTGAGAGATAGTATCTGTTAGTCTCCTGACATAACAGGTGACGCAACTTCAGACACATCCGTTGGGTCTGATGGCATCCGCTTCACCCCCGGATCACCAGTAAACCTACTCAGAGTGGGGGTTTTGTCCACTTTACCCCATGTGGCTGTCCCCGCAATGCTAGCACTCGCACTTTCATCGGAGCTCTCACTGTCACTTTCACTTTCTCTTCTGGTCACAATATTTTGGGGGCCCCTGTCACTGCCACTGACACTGCCCTCGCTATCAGAAGACGAAGCAGTTGGCAAGTCAGATAACTCATCGGAGATCAAATCACAGATTTCTTCTTCTCCGAGAGCTCGCGCGGCCTTCAACTGCTTTAGTCTCTGAGCCATGTTGACACTGAGAATATCTTGCCTCACACATAGAAGCTTCGACAAAGGGACTTTTCTTTAGAGTGAGAGGGGAATAGAGAGTGGTCACGTTGCTGACTCAGAAGACAAACATTCCGAAGGTCAGCTACGCAGTACTTTTACAGACACATGGCGACGAAAGCGAGGAATACTGTGTTGCAACATAACGTGTCCTAAAGGCCTAAATCTAGGCCACCGGTCTGCCACGTTTAAAACCCAAACACCTAGGCCTAGGCGTCCGGTCCGCAAAGTATTAATACTCGTAATAGCTAATGATTTTGAAAGTGTAGAAAAGAAATCTCTAGAAACAGCTGTTATAAGATAGAGGAATTGAAAATCAGCCTTAATAAGGAAAATGTATCATGCTTCATGTAATAGGGTTGTACAGCCATGACTGATAAAGATGTGATGGTTTTACAGAGCTGTACAAATTCAGAGAACACTTTAGCAGGTCCTTATGGTGAGACATACCCAGCATGTCATGATGCAAATGAGGTCATGAATATAAAAGCTGAGGAAGTCGTAGACTCAGAAGAGGATGCTGATCATTTGCCAATAACCCTTCAAAAAATAAAGGCCAAAACTGAGGTGAGCTCTATGTCTCTGTATGTCCGCTGTTAGGCAGATACCACAAATATGCAGAAATGGAAATTGTCGTTCTGATAGTTGATAGTTGTACCTTGTGATCTGTCACTTCATTTTCTTTTAAGCAGATCTAATATAAATAAAATTATTTACTGTATAAAGTGAACAGTGTTTCTGGGAAATTCTGTGCTAGCAACAGTCCTTACAGGTTTAGGGAAATATTCCCAATTAGATAGTGCTACACTTATTAGAACCAAGATCTTGTATCATTGGATTCTTGTAAACAAATTCCACTAAACCCCACAAAATGTGATGTGATAAACAAGTTTCAAGATTACGAAGGATTCTGCATTCTCTTGCAACAAGAGTGGCAAGAGGTGTACTGTAGAGAGCTGAAGAAGCATTTCCTGCAGTGATAGAGAGTATGGTATTTTATGCTCATGTGCACAGAAAAGAATTTTGTCATATGTCAGAGAAACTAAATATTTTGTGACAGGATTTGTTTTAGTTTTCATAATCCATCGGGGGAGTTCCTTACAGATGGTTGTAGACACTATACCATTTTGGTATATTATGTAGAAGACAGGCTTAAAGTTGGTGGTGGTCAGGCATACGACCGTTCAAGTGACTAGACAGCCATGGTAGTGAATACTACTAGAAATAGGGCATAGTCTGCTTTACTGAGCCTAGACTGACAGAGGCCTTGTATATATTATATATACTAGATATTAAGACTCAATTGTAAATAGGTGTACATAGTGACAATGGACTAGTACTGTCGACTATGACTGACAAATGACAGACCTGACCTCTCGTCAGAGAGGGCGCCCCACATAGACAGGACAGTAACTTTGATTTAAAAAGTAACATCTGGTCATGAGCCCCAGCTGGGACTTGACACCAAGACAGACAGACTGACCAATTCAAGGTTATTGGTTGATTCAAGAAGAATGATGTGCATAGGTCATGTAGCATGCATATGAGAATGAGAAATGCATACAATGATTAAGACAGATTTTAATGAAATTATTTGGGATGATTTGCTCTTGGTTTCTTTGGCACAGGATAAATAGCCATGCTGGACATGCATTACCAGAGTAATGAACCTTTAGGTACCATTCCTAACTTCATGGAGCTGAGTCCTTCTTGAGAAGCCACCAGTTGCTCAGCCACTGAAGAATTTTCTAACATTTTACGGAACATGAAGGCTCAGTTCCATGTTCACAAGAGCACGCCACTGGACCCTATCCTGAGCCAGATCAATCCGGTCCACACCACCCCTTCCCATGTCTCTAAGGTCCATCGTAATATGTCCCTCCAACCTATGTCTAGTCTTTGTAATGGTGTCTTGTTGGCCTTCCTGCCAAAATTCTACATGTATTCGTATTCCCCTTTGCTCCATGTGTGCTTCATTCCATGCCCATCTCATCCTTCTTTACTTGATCATTCTAATAAAACTTGGTGAAGGGTACAAGTTATGAAGCTCCTCATTATGCATTTTTCAGGTGCCATTAAAAAGAATATATTTTCTCTAGTGAAACACCATTAGTTTCTGAGGAAGGTCACTGCATTGTGAACTTAATATTTTGTAGTTATTTTTGAAACCTATAGAGAAGAAACATGCACAGAACGTCTGTTATGAGTTAGATGAATTGAAAATCAGCCTTAGTAAGGAAAGTGTACCATGCTTTATGTAATAGGGTTGTACAGCCATGACTGATAAAGATGTGATGGTTTTACAGAGCTGTACAAATTCAGAGAATGTTCTAGTAGGTCTGTATGTTGAGACATACCCAGCAGGTCATGATGCAAACCAGGCCATGAATATAAAAGCTGAGGAAGTCATAGACGCACAAGAGGAAGCGGATCCTTTGCCAATAACCCTTCAAAAAATAAAGCCTAAATGTGAGGTGAGCTCTATGTCTTTGTATGTTCACAGATATCACAAATATGTAGAAATGCTAATTGTCTTTCTGATCTCCCATCTCTGTGTCCTTTCATGTGAAACAACTCAACTCTGTTGATGATATTCTGATGAGTTTTGTCTGACATCGGCAGTTGTAGTTTGTTGAATGTTGCTTGTGATGACCACTCTTGTTTTTTTTTATTCGTCTCATTCATTCATCATTGGCTTTATAGCCCTATGTCGGACCTGCTTTCAGTTTCGTATTTTTTTCTACACAGATGGTAGGACTCCTTGGATGAGTGATGAGCCTGTCACAAGGCTGCTACCTACACACAGGATAACCTGAACACAGAATAAATGTACACAGAAACACCCATGCCTTTGAGTGGGATCTGAACCTATGATCCCAGCATTCAAGCGAGCAAAGACAGTTCATGCTTCAGACATTGTGGCCACCATGATCAGTGCTTGTTTTCTTTTAAGCGGGTGTAATATAGATGAAATTAAGCATTGTATAAACTTAACAATGTTTCAGAGAAATGTTATAGCAACAGAAATCTTCCACATTTTTCTTCTGCTTCCAATCCAGTTAGCTTTTGTTTCGTACTACACCATAGGCTTCCTAAAATATAATAATATTTAACATCATCATTTATTCGTTTTGTAACTTTGATGCAATCTATATCTGTATAAATAAGAGATGTCATGATATTGAGAACCTGTAATGGGATAAATAATGATTCTCTACTGATCTGTGACAGTGGGTGACAGATTATACAGATATGTTTGACATTGCACATTTCTTGTCATTTGAGGTACATCGTAATGGATGTAGGGATGTACACTGTGGGAGTTGCCTGTGTTCATTGAACTGACAGATTTTATATCACTTTGTAATGGACAGATGGGACAGTTGCTGAAAATTATATACAAGGGACATAAAAGAAGTATAAAGAACAATGTGGAGGAATTAGTATTGACAACACATATCCTAAACTATGGATACCAGTATGGTCAGATGAAAAATATAATGGATGTAAGGAAACACGCGAGAAAGGGCTANTAAATATAACTAAAATTAGTTCTAAAATCCTAGATACCAAAAAAAATTTTTTTTTTGTAGGCCTGTTCTGATTATAATCAGAACAAAGACAATAAACGTTCAGTTTAATACAGTATTCACATGAGATAACACACATGCAGCAGTGACTGTGTGTTCAGTCAGAGAAGCACCATCACTAGACAACAGCTTGCCAGGCATGTTTCTGCAGCAATGGAAACCAAAGCAGTGCTATGAAATTAACCCACATCTCAGTGGAGATGTGGTTCCCTAGAGATCGACTCAGTACAGAAAGCATTTCTGTATCAAGAGACAAGCAGTAGATGTTCTGGAGATTATATAAGCGGCCATGCAGAGAACACATTCATTCTTCGTTCGTCATTTGCCCATAGTGATTCATCAATCATGAACCAGAAGTGAGTAAATCAGAACCAAGTCAGTCATAGTAGAAGAAAGAGAGAAGACAGTTGTAGTCCAGTAAGGAATGGAGTGAGTCTTAGGCAATTATTGATTGTGAGCTCTTGTAATTGATTGTAATTAAGAGTGATTGTGATACAAGTGTCGATAAATCCAGTCATCCAATCCAGAACCTGTTATTGTTAGTCATGGAACCATGGACACGTGACAGTATTAAGCACCACATATCTTCTTGTCAGTACTACCTCAGAGATATCACATCAGCAGCACAGCACACCGCCCAGTAGCAAGGGATGGACAGGTATGAAAAATTACAATAAATTTGGTGAAATTCTTTCCAAACATAGGCTAAATAAAAGTAACTAATTAGACATGTTATGTAAGATTTGAGGCTTTCACGGCGGTGACTATGAAGAAAGCAGTCTTCTGGGATTTGGCACCGTGTATATGTGGTGTTAACCGACGTTTCAGAGGAACGTATCACCTCCATCTTCAGGGTAGAAGAAAAAATATAAGAAATCTGCAAGCGAAGAGACCGTGAGAACCGGTAAAAGCAGACTGTTTGTACCGGTTCTCACAGGATAAACTCATCAAATAGTACCAGTTGTGCTAGATTTGTAGAATCTCGGATGCTAAATGTTTGAACAGTTCTCATGTAAAGAAAGAATACTCTCTTATCAGTAGAATCTATGAAATTGGTTACAGCTTTTTCTTTCATATTGTAGCTCCTGTGTTCACATTGGCAGTGTGAGATGGTGTGTCTGGTCCATATTTGTGAACATTATTATATGTTCATACTTCACAGTTTGTTACAGTTCAGGAGCAGTCTTACTATCAAATGCTGGCTTCAGATCACTCTTCTGTTCCACAGTGGGTTCTGAAGACTGGATTTCCTTTCCCTGCTGCAGACACCCAGGACACACACCACACAATTCCACATTGAACATCCTCCCCCCAAAGACTCTTCCCAGCTAATAGTGCTTGGCTGATTGCTTGATCCGTGACATGTCTTGGTCTTATGATTGAGAGTAAGATATTATGGGAATCTGACATGAGATGGCTCCATGTTAAATGCAGACACTCACTGAATATTTATATGACACAATCAGCTGTACTTTAAAAAAAAAGTACTTTATATTGAGGATTAAGTACCACCCCAGACACAAGCCACATCACAAGCACATGGTAGCAACAGATGAACAGAGAATGAAGCAATAAAGTAACATCAGTCATGTTCTTGCATGAAATCTACTTCAAAATAGCAACACCAGTAGGAGCCAGAATGTATACAAATTATGCAGTTCATCAGTGATTATGTATAAGCAGAAAATTCACTGCAATATTATAAACGGTTTTGAATATTATGTAAATGTTGCTGCTAGAAATTAGTTTATAATAAGTAGTCTCTTGTTTGACATGTAGGCCTCTGATGGTGGATCTACAGGGCCAAATCATACATGATGCCTTTTATATAATAAGTATAGTTTTAAGTATTGCATATTATACTTGATGTTTCTTGTTATTCACTAAATATTCTTAACATTGTTATGTGGCAGGTATTGAAGCAGAGACTGGGTGACAGTGCTCCAGACCTACTGTCCCTAATCCCCTCGAAGATGGATTATGGAAGCTTCATGTATGACCCCCACAGTAAAGTCCAGGCTATCATAAATCCTGTCTAAACACTATGATCTGTATTAACAGTTATGCTTTCTGCACCAGCTATCTTGAGTTTGTTTGTGTGAGGAATCTGGAGAATGTCCGATCTTGTAGAGGCGTGTCTCGTTCTGTGGTCATTTGGTGAAGGTGGGAACACAGCCCCATCCTTATAGCGTGCTATTTCACCCTACCTACCACAATAGATTCTTTCTGAACACATGACGTATTCTGTGTTATACATAGTTTCCTGTCATCTGAGCATTTGTTTTCTATATAAAAGGTGAAACGAGTAAAAAAGAAGCTATATATCAGCATTCCCCGCAGGTTCCAAGGATCACCTCGGTGGGCTTCGAATTTCCCAAGTAAACTGTTCCCATTCTGGAATGCATGTGCCTTCCCCCCCCCACAACATGCATCTCCCACTATGCACTCAGTCTGTTTGTTTACTATAGCCAGGTATCTTTTTGTCTTGGGGTTTCTGTTTTTTCCTATGATTGTTTTGGAAATTCACTGTCCTTCCTGCAGCCATGTGTGAAAAGCATAGTTGTAGTGCCGCTGTGATGGAGGAAATCAGAATCGCTGGCAGAGAGGCAGGATTCCAAAATGTCAGTGAAGATGTCATAGTAGAATTGCTGCAATCTGTTTCTTTGCCATTAGAGAACGAGGAACTGGCAGAGTTTGACAGGCAAACATATAAAGAAGCATAGGATGGCCATGTTGATGAGCATGTGATTTCAGAAGAAAATACCTTAATAATTAAAAGGTTAGCAGAAACCTTCAGCAAAATTGATGAGACCGGATTATTTTGAAATGATGAACCTTTGTATCATCATCATTCTGCCAAGGTTAAATGTGAACTGGAAGATGTATTGTCATGCTATAAAGAAATTTTATAAGCAAAAATATGAGTTGGAAACCAAGCACCATTGCAAAATGCATACCATTCAGGGAGAATTTAGAACTTCAGGCATGTCCATCCAGGTTTCAGCACATATGCATGCACACGCACAAAATGTAAAGTTATTGGAAGGTAAAAACTGTTGAGAACTTAAAGTTATTTATATAAAGAATTGCTATTTTAATAGTGTATCAGTTCAGAGTCGGTGTAGGAGTTTTATCATGGATGGCATGCTACCTTCTCAGGTGATGGACATGTGTGGTAACCTCAGATGTAGCAGTCCTTATAAACTTGTTTGCATTGTTGTGGGTGGAAATCCCCCCTTTAAGGGGGTTCGCTTCAAATGACACCTTTCCAGTCCCAATTAACCATGGAAAGCTAAGAATCTCTGTACCACCATGGAATATCTAATGCCTGACACTTCATTTTCCTGTCAGCGATGCTTGGCAGAAATCCCTTCTGAATATCTGGCTTATATGGTTATGAGCAAGGCGGTGCACAAAATTCTGTTTTGTGTGTATTGGTTTTTATATCCTTCAAGTATATTGTGTGCTAAATTACTTCCTTATGAAAATAGTTCTGTTATTCTGTGTTCTCTTTTTAGTAGTCCACAAGTTCTGGAGGAAGGTAACAGCTGTATCGCAAGATATATGCCCACATTTAGACACCCAGTCCCAATAGGAAGCTCTGAAACCAGAAACTTAAGAGCATTTGAGCAAATGGTGCTCAATTTGCCATATTCACAGCTTTGTATTGTATTATTATGACCATCAACACAACAAATTCCAAATAAATAAAGCGGTGTTACTGTATTAACATTTGTTTATTATTCTATATCCGCTACATGTTTCAGTCCAGCTGGATCATCATCAGGCAGTTTTCACAATAAAACACTTGTTATTGAATTGTGTTTCTGATATGTATCCATATTAACAATTATATTAATATTGTCACATATAAGGGGTTGTGTGATGAATCAAAATGGGTTCTGGATTTGATGATTGGATTTATTGGCATTTTTTTACAAATACAATCACTTATAACAGCTCACAGTCAATGACTTCCTAAGGCTCGCTCCATTCCTTACTGGACTATGAATATCTCTTCCTCAGTGACAAATGCCGAACAAAGAATGTCTCCTGAATAATGAATTCTGCTGAACATTCTCAAGTGTCCTTCCTTTATAACTTCGTGAGGACTGAACAGAGATCACCATGACCAACATTTCATGTTATTGCATGCTATTTGTTGTAATGGAAATGTGTGTTGCAACTTGCAACCTAGTAACAGAGGTCCTTCCACTGTTGACTGCATAACCTTTGAATGTGTTTGCCAGAGCTTTATCTAGCAATGTTTTAGTCCATCACAATATAAATTCCTATATCTCATTATGTTACTGAAGTGTAGTATTATTCATAAAGGTTAAAGTGTTAAAACGTTGTTTAAAATCTATCAGAATGTTAATTTCTTGTTAATTTAATCTTCATTCATTTTTCACTGAAATAAATATCCTTGGTGGTGTGTCATAGATGTAGGGGTAATTTTTTTTATCTTGAGAGTGAGTGTTGTTTTTAGTCTTGTAGATATATGTTATGTGGGTGATGCTAAGTTCTGTATGTTCTTTTATTTCTTTCTGTCGTGTTGTGGATAGCTGTGGTGAAATTATTGTGTCTTGTGTGGGGATATCGCTTTTTCCTGCCATTGGATACTGAGGTTGTTTCTGTCCTATGGTTTTGTTAGTAATAAACAAACTTTAATAAAGTGGCATTGGTTTATTTATTTGGAATTTGTTCTGTTGATAGCCATATTAATAGACAACAGGATGCATATAATAAAGATATTCACAGCTGTTTTTCTTTTCTGTCTGACATCCTTTTGACCCCCCTCTGTGGTTTAGTGGTCAGAGTTGTGGGCTACAGATCCAGAGGCCTGGGTTCGATTCCCGGCGCTACCATATTTTCTGAGAAGTAGCGGGTGTTGAAAGGGGTCCACTTAGCCTTGTGATGATAATTGAGGAGCTGTTTCAAGGAAATAGCTGCTCCGGTCTAGAAAACCGAAATTAACGGTCATGGGGACTCGCGCTGCCCATGCAACACCCTCTATCCGCTAAAGTTGGCACTAACTTCGCCAACAAGCAGCGGTTGCTCAGTCGGTATAGTTCGCTTGTGGACTAAACCCACAGAGTTTGTTTTTGTTTTGTCTGACATCCTTTGCATTGTGGTCTTTCTTGCACAGACACCATTCTTCCATTACAGTGTGTTGTTCGACACACACACAAGACTA